AATATAAAAAAAAAATAACAAGTATTATATTTTTCTTGATATTTAATTAAGACAATAAATAATATATTAGGTTTTATAAAATAACACACTCACGCACAATATAATGCTTTCTCAATTTGTTATAAATTTAAAAAATATAATATGCTATATAGAAAAATGTTATATATTATCATTTGATTTTGCAAATACCAATTTAAGGAAAGCTTTATTTATATTTGTTTTAAATTTTAAACCGATCACCAATTTGAAATATTTATTAAAGTAAAAGAATATATGATTTCTTATATAAAAGATTTTTGTTTTTAATATAAACATTTTTTAGTAAATTAACCATTTGTTATTGGTTTGTTTATAAAAAAAATATTATATATATATTTTTTTAAGAAAACTCTACGAGTAACGCAAAATCGTACCCAAAACCTTAACGTTATGATTGTTATTTCTTATATTAAATAATAATTTTTGTTATATAAAAATTAGTTCGAAAATCTAAAAGTTTAAAATCTAAAAGGAAATTGTATTTCTTAAAGTAATTAATTTATAAGAAAAGTTTTAAGTTTAGTTTAAAATCGGAAGTTGACCCGAAAAATGTTTTATTTTTATTTTATTAAATTAATCTTTATTAATTTTATTCCATATTAATTTATTTTTAATTTAAAATAAATAAATTTTTTTTTTAATGTTAAAAAATTTCTGTTAAATTTTTCCTTTTGGTTATTGCAAAATACAGCAAAAATTTTATTTATTTTATTTACAACAAAATTGAGATTTTGTGCGTTTATGTGCGTTAAATGATAATTTATTTTTTGTTTTTGTATATATTATATATAGAAAAAATCCAAAGGGTTTTAAGTTGATAACAAAAAATACAATGGCCTTTAACCATACGAAAATGTAATGAGAGTTTCATGAATTAATGTATGATTTTAAAATTTTCTTATTTAATTTTTTTTTTCAATGATTATGCGTTCATAGTATAATTAATTAATAAACAAAAATAAAAACATTTTTCGTTAACACAAAATAATTAAAATTTGGGGGAATATATATAATAGAAAGAGAAATCGAAAAAGTCAGATTTGTATTGAGTTGGGAGACAAATGTTTTGGGAAAAGACTGTGTACTATGAAAATTTCTATAACAAAATATTTTACTTGTTTAATATTTTATTAATTTTTTTAAAATATTCATTTTGATTTTATGAATATACTTGAAGTTAAAAAATCACTTACCTCATGTTATGATGGTGCCCTGCTGTACCGATTTGTGGTTTACGATATAGTTCGAATGCTGAGCCCCGTTGTTCACGACTGCCTGCTAAGTCCAGAGCATGCCGTTCTGGCGTATGTGGTGGAAGATTACCTATTAGTTAAAAAAATTTTTTAATATATTAAAAAATTTAGTACTTCAAAAAATATAATTTACACAATGGCTGTTCTAAAAAGTTGGTGGAGATACAAAAAATTACTACTCTAATACTAAATTAATAAATCTTTTTTTATAGTACTTCTAATATATACTTAATGGAACTACTTAAATATATTAATATATAATAAACTAAAGCTTAATTACAATATTTATTTGAAATAAATATATAACAAATAAGTAACATTTTATTAATTCTTGTTTTATTAACTTTAATGAGGTTGAACTGGTTGGTATCATGGTATTACTCATAGATCCTGGTTTCTTAACGGTAAAAAATAAAAAAGCGGTTGATAGAGATGTGGTCGTATTAAGTGCTGGATATCTAGTTTGTAGACGAGTTTTTAAGTTGCCAAAGGAATTTTATTATCCCACTACGTTATTAGTTTTATAAAGTCTTTCAGAATTATGTGTCCGGTTAGTATAGAATTGTTGCTTCGTTTGAAAATTTAAGAATTTTTAAACTTTTCTGTTTTTATTTTATTAAATATCAAGTTATAAATCAACGTTTTTTGTTTTTATTTTGCACAGATCTTTTACTTCTAGAACAGAAAAAAAATTTAAAAATGCAAATGGGGCTGCGGAGCACACTATCAAAATACTAAATTGTAATATTGTTTAAATATAATGTATTAAGACTTGATTAGCTTGAATCATAGATTTTCAATTACGTCATACAGAGTTCGAAATCTGGAGATGTCATTAAAAGCTGTCTAATACGCAATGAAGATGAAATGTAATTGTTGTTGTAGCCTGCTGGGAACTGTTTGTGTAGTATCTTTGGGAGGTGTCGTAGTCGTCGACACGTAGTCGTCGATAACGACAAGTGGTTCCATAAAGTAGACTCGGTCGTTCTTGGAACCGAACTCAAGTATACCAATGCTTGCTTTTCATTTATTTGAATGAAATTAATTTTTGAAGTTTTACTACTAACTACGATTTTTTTTCAAAAGTACCCTGATAATGATATTATGTTAATATCATAACATAATCATATCATAACATATTATGATATTTACATGTTACATGAAATTTAACTACAATATTATACTATATGCGATAATTAATATTACCTTAACTACTAAATTCTTCTACGTTCATAATTAGTAACATTTTTTTATGAGTAGTAAATTACTTCTCAGTATATATTGAAATTACCATAGTAAAACTTAATAATAGAACTTAAAGCCATTGGCTCAAAGTGATTTGTCTTATTTTTGTATTTGTTTTTATCAGACTGGACTTCATTTAACGGATATTATTACCACCACTTACCAATAGGTGGTGGCATGCCACGATGTGGTGCAATATATGGACCAGTGCCGCTGCCGCCATTATAGTGGTGATTACTGCCATTGTAACCATTTGTAGGTGGATATTGTGGTTGTTGACTATAATTGCTGTTGGTGCCATAGGTGGGTTGTATGTTATTATTAGGACCATGATGTGGTGAACCAGGTGTTTGTTGTGAGTAATGATGATGTGATGGTGTAGGTGGATAATAAAAGCCGTTGGGTGAACGTGGTGAGCCAGGTTCCTAAAGAAAAATTATATATTTATTTAAATCAATTAAATATTTTCTTGCAATAAAAACTTACGCCATTTTCCCAATTTGCATTGCCATTGCCAGCACCAGTACCACCTTGTATTGGTGGTCGATAATTTTTGGGCTTTGGTGGCGGCACTGGTTTAAAGGGTCCACCGTTGTTACCATTTGTTGCAGCATTGTTGTTGCTACCATTGATATTTGGTGGTGGCACAACCATTTGTGGATTCTTCGGCAATTTACTGTAATCAGCTTGAGAGGCAGAATTGTTTCGACTGCTTAAGGTAAAGCGATTTCCCGATTCAGCGATTTTGTAAGTCCATCATATTATTTTTTGATTTAAATTATTTTATTTTTTGGTTTGCGTGAGGATATAGGTGAAGTGCGTTTTTTACATAAAAAATATAACATACACAGACACATAAATAAACATGAAAAAAGATATGAGTATAAGGTGAAACAAAATAAAAGTATATTTAAAAAATAATGTACAAATTAAAATATTTTTATTTAATTCGTTTTTATTAATATTACAATTATAAATTAGTTCGTTTTTATTTTAATATGTACAGTACAAAATATTTGTAGAATAAGTAAACGCACGAGCACATAACATTTAGGGGAAGCACATATACAATTAGACAATGGGACTTAAAAGTTTTAACGCAAGCTCTTTTGAATTCTTGTATAGATTATAGAGAATTTTACTATAAAAACATGTCTAAAAATTCAAACGAGTGTGTCGTAAACCGATATATTTTGCACAGATGGGCGCATCAGTTTTGGACCCGATTGGGCATTAATAGTTCGGTCAGGTATGAAGCCAGTATTGCTAAGTGTAACGTCATTCATGTTTCTAAGCAGTTTACGAGGCGCCGCTATGGGTTTGGCAGTTGTGCGTTGATAATGCAAATGTACAGGACGTATATGTGAGCGGTATCTTTAAGGATAATTACAATAACCATACAATTGAGACAGCAATTATATATATGACATTATGGATTTATGGTTATATGGAAATGGTTATAGTTACATTTTTATATTTTATATATATTTTTATTTTGTTGGCATGCAGTTATTTTCAATAAAAATAAAAGAAAATATGGATAATTATTTATTTATTTATTTACACTTAATTTAAATTTGTTAATAATATTGCAAGAAATTGTTTATACAAAAAATAAATATGTCAGAGTTATCGTACCTGTACTTTCCATAATCAGTTTTTGTTTCCATTAATGGCTTACGGGGGCTGCCTTCGAGACCCAAATTTGAAGGGCGTTGAGGTGGTCCATTTCGTGGATCTAAAGGTAACAAGAAAAATGTATGAATAAAGATAATTACAATAAAGATATTGCATATTTATTTATATGCAATATAAATAAATAAAATAATTTTCGAATTATTAAATTAATTAAATAAGTTATTATTAAAACAATTTTATAATAATTTTGTAAGTATATAAAGTTTGCTTATACACTACTACCAACAAATCTAAATTTGAAAAATATTACTTCGTATATAAACAACCTGTATAATCCAACAAAATTAAACCGAAGATTCATTATTTTTGTTTATGTTTCTTTACTCACTGAACATACTTCCTTGTTCAGTTCTAATCTACAATTCATAAACAAGAAGATATATTTTATTTCCATACCTATATTCCTCGCCGAGTTTATATCATGATATTGTGGTCTACCAGGACTGCTTTGCCGATTTAAGTCATTCGCACCTACAAAGTTACGGTGATCATGTGTGCTACGTGCATATTCCGGTGCCTGTGAGTTCATACCAGCAGGTGGTAAAGGACGGCCACTATTTACAAAAAAAAAAACAATAAAGTAGTTAATAAAAAATTATAAATAATTATTAAATTATCAAATTAACAACACAAAAAAAAAAAAAGAAAATAAAAGAAAATTAAAATTTAATACATACTTTGCATTTGGTACTGACTTGAGATCGTCGGGAGCATTTGGCCCAAGTCTGCCCAAATTTTGCATCGTTAGCTGAGATGTGTTGTACGAATCATAACTTGATACGCTATCATAACTGGAACCATTTTGCTGGGAACTATTAGGCATTGAGCCTTTACTACCAGGTAAACCAGTTGAGCTACCCATTGTAGCAGCATTCAAGCGTGCTTGCCGCTCCAACGAAGCATGTTGTTGGCGATCTATTGAATCTGTTGCTAAAGCATTGCGTGATATATATTCAGCTTGTACATCATCATTAACAATGGGTTTTCCAAATAAGCGTTCTTGCGCTGAACGTCCTAAAGTTCCACCAGAACTATTTGTACGAGAAGGTGGTTGCATTTCACCAGGTCCGGGTTTTGATTGGCGATCTATGCGTGGTGGCAAATCAGGTGCATTTATACCATAAAGTGATTGTGGGCGTGTAGAGGGTGTCGACGGATCAGACGAACCACCTAACATATTTGTGCCTGGTGGTATGTAGCCAGCATATTTACTAGAGTCTATTGTTTGGCGTCGATTTGGTGGTGGATTAGCGGAATGTTCATACGGAATCTATAGATTTTGATTAAAAGTGAATGTGTTTGGATATAAGAAATTAAAAATTTTATTAGTATCACTTGAATAACAAATAAGTATTCATAATAAGTGTTGTATACTTATAATATGTAAATATTATTAAATTTTTAAATATCAAATTATATAAATCTTAACTTAAATTATCTTTTATATAGAATACAACAGTTATGTATAATCCTATTAAAAAACTGAAATTTATTAATGTAAATAACTATAATATGCATGTAGAAATTCTAAAAGAAAGTTCTATAATGCAAACTTTGGAACCGGGACTAAAAAATATGAACAGAAACGTTTGAAATTATAAATATTATTTAGTTAAATTGGCAACGTTTAATTAGGCTTTTACGGTTAGATATATATTATCTAACCGTTATTCTATTATATATATTACAGTTAGAACAAAAAATTATCTCCCAAATTAATCAAACATTCCTAAGGAACAGCCCATATTTGTAGCTGCTATTCAGTTCAGTTTCAAGATGATAAGTGATGGCAGTCAGTCTTGAGAGTCTTTTTGATTAATGGATTTTTTAAAGATATTTAATTTATTCAGTTATTATAATTTAACATTTAAATGTGAAATCCTGTGAACACGCAAAAAAAGAAGCCTAAGAAAGAGACAGATCATTGGGATTTAGGAACATTCCGGATATGCAAATTCAGCAAGCCAGTAGTTCTAGATTGTTAGTGAACTGTTAAACTGTAAGTGATGGTAAATTTAAACAACTCATTATTATTGTGGATTTAAAATGACTATTATTATATGGAATATGCAAATCATATCAAACTCGATTTGAAAGCATAACTGATTTTTATTTGGATCGTAATAAGGTGGGAGGATTAAATGTAGTGAAAAAAATTTAAGAGTTAAAAACTATGTCATTCAAATTAAAGTTTGAAAATCGATATATTAGATGCTATCCATTTTAGTCGGGAATATAAGAGAATGCAAAAAATGAAATTGTATAAAAACCATGAATGAGGTAAGGCATGCCTGTCATAAGAGACGACTAATATCCCGGAGCCATTCCGACACTGTTTGGAGTCTGAATGGTAGTAAGTGAGTGTCTTCACTTGTGACACCTGACTGGAAGTATAAATCTGGTACCACGGGAGTCAGGTGCTCGCAGCTTTGGCTATCCTAACCGATTGAGGTTGGCAGTATCGTGGTGGCTGTGGTTAGTACCCAAACTGAAGCGGGTAAAATGATTGAATTTTACTTTCATTTGGCGTGGACTTGCTTATTCACATCGGGTGCTGTGACCCATGGATCAGCAGACGGGCTTCACTTCTTACTAAAGGAAAATTAGGCCAAACACATAACTTCAATTAGTGTCGGCGGATATTTCTTGGAATTTCCAATGGGGCGTTTAAAGGCAAATTATCTTGACACGTGTATTTTTTAGAACACTGTAGTTTTAAACCTTCAAGACAGTAACCACTTTAAATAAAATTGGATTCAACTATTTTTACGGATGTTAAATAGATATCACTGAATAAAGTTATACAAATCTCATCAAAACTGATTTGGAAACTAAAACTCATTCCACTTTGGAATATAGTGTATTATTAGGTATGGGGATTGTATTAAGTAAAAAACCTTACAGAGTTTAAAACTATATTTTCCAAATTCAGACTTGAAAACTGATTGCCTTGACTTTCAATAACTTTAAATTACTGTTAAATGTAAGTCTCTAATATGTTGATTATTTATGTGGCAGGGTGAGAAATTAGTATCTTTCACTTTATTCCTTTTTGAGATTGTAACCGCATGTTTGAAATTTTTATTGTCTAAACAAACTAGTATCGGTTACTCCATATTAGATAAATTATAAATAAAATTGAGGTTCTAAGAAGTGGTTTACAGAATTAAAGCCAGGTGTTTCAAGTTTTAATTAGAAATCTATTTCAAGGAAATTTATACCGGCTACTTTAAAATAGTTGTAGACAAAGTGTGAACTGTATTAATATTGTTAAGGATGATTCGGAGCAGCCCAGGATATAGTGACGTTTTATATTTTTTTTTATTAATCAACTATTAACAATTGTTAAAAGTTCTATGTAATTTGCGAATTAAATATAATTATAAATATTTACTCTTACAAAATAGATAATTAATTCAACAATATGGTCGATTTCACATATGAGATAATGTAAGTATGGTATAAATTGACTAATAACGAATTGATTTGATAAGTGCTGAGTATAAGTATATCGGACTTCATTAACTGAGCCTATTAAGATGATCGTGATATTGAATCATATGAATACATATTTTAATTAAGTTATTCATAAAAATTATAAATATTGATCAATTTATTGATAACTGCTATTTTTCTGGTTCCTTATATTAATTAACATATTTAATTATAAGCAACGTTTATAACATATATTAAGTTCAGCACATGCAGTTAAAAAATATTAATAATTATGTTATAACCAATATAGATATTATTAGGTATATTATGTTAAATGATTACATATTATATATTTAATAAACTTATGTAATATATTATGCATATTAAATGTAAATACTCATGTTATATTAATAATTTTCTAATGATTTTGTGTATTGTTTGAAGTATTTGTTGGCCTCTTACCGTATATGGAGGTGGTAATCCTTCACCAATTATGTCTCTATCCCTATCCAAGTTATCCTGATTAGTTGCAATCGATGGATCTGAGCTCGATTTAACCAATTGTGGTAAATTGCCTAGTGACAATGATGCTGATGGCCCAGGACTTAATTCCAAATCAGATTCAGGACTTGATGCATACGATAAACGGGATGTGGTCATTGGGAATAGGAAATCATCGGATAAGGATTCAACGGGCTATTTATTAATTTTTAGTGTTTGGGTGCGTTCATTATTTTTTGGGAACAGGATTGAGATAAGGAAATTTGGGTTTAATGTTAGTATTGTGGTTATAGTGTTGAAAATGTCGGTAGGAAATTGTTTTTGTGTCAATATTGTTTGTTTTGATTTCGTATTGGAGAAAAATATTGAAAAGCAAATAAAATATTTTTTTTTTTGTTTTTGAAAATAGCAACAAACGTGGAAATATATATAACAAAATAAGATTTAAAACATAACAGAAAGTAAACAAAAATACGAAATAAAATAATTAACAAATTAGATTAAGAAATTCGGTATTAAATGAAACGTTTGATTGCCAAGCAATGTAAAAATAATAATTTTGTTATTATTAAATATTTTGGACGGACACATTTGTGATTTGGACGAATACACAGTTTGAGAATTGTTATTCCATAAAGTAAAATGGGAGCAGTTGTAGTTGTTAAGTTCGATTTTGGGATGATAAAGCAAGGAAATGACCGTGATGAAGTTGTTTTATCGCAAACATAATTTAGTTTTTTTTTTTTTAATCAGAAACGAATGAAACAAAAATAAATAAAAACATTTAGTTAGCAACTTTTAAAATTTTTTTAAATAATTAAAATTTTTTTAGCTTACGAAATTAATCATGGAATTGTTAAAAATAAAAAAATATAAATTATAAATAAATTAATACTTATTTTTTTTTTTGTTTTTTGTTGGTATTATAACTTTCAAATTACATTTTTTTTTTCTTCTTCTTTCTCATTTGTGTTAGTTTTTATTACTAAATAACAATTCCATAATTTATTTAAATTACTTAATTTAGCTACTCTTTAAATTGGATATTGAAAATTACTATTGAAGATGTAGTTTTAGATGATGCCAGATAAAAAAACGCATGCATAACACAAAAATATTGGAAGATAAACATATATATTTATCTTTATATACATAGGAACTAAATACATACTAGCACATATACATACAATAACGATTTTACGAGGTTTAAATTAATATGTATTTTATTAATTATAAATAATATAAATGTTGATTTTTAGTTACAAAACATGCAAAAAGAATTAGTTTGCTTAATTTAGTTGAAAAATTCGACTTTTATTTATCTTTTATGTATGTATCGATATACGATAAAAACATCAATCGATAATTTTAAATGCATTTTTAATTAAATTGTATATAATTTATTTACGTAAATGTTCTTAAATAGGTAATAATATTTCAAAGACACTTAAAGTATATGGGTGAGTAGTGAAAGAATTTCATCAGAAGGTGTTATATGTGATTAAATTTCATGTCTTCGATAAGTAGATATTAACTGTTGCGGATCTATGATGCATTGAATTAATCATCGAAATGCATTGAATTAAGATGATTGAAACGATCATATTTAAAATTTTTGGAGTCACATGTGTACTCTTTTAAGAACGATTTTAGTAAAGGCAGCTATTTTGAGCAACCTTTTACATTAGGGGATGTGGCAACACAGCTTACTTCTCGAGATATCAGTATTTAAAGTTGGAAAATTTTAGTTGAGAACTATCACCCCTTGCATGTCTTCTTGTTGTTAATGATTTTTGTATAATCAACATTAAAATAGTTTATATTTTTTGGCGTAGATATTTTTTTTTGTTTTTTAGAATAGTGAATGAAAAAGTTTGCAATTTGATATTTCAAGAAGTAAGCTGTATCAGCATAAAGGGTAGTAAAGTTGCTCAAAATTACATTCGTTCTCATATTAAACTGTAGATAATTAAAACTATTTTTCATTGAATGAAAAGGTTTAATCAAACAAAAAAAAAATGAAATGTCTATTCCATTAGAGATGTGTATCGAAATATTATGAATTACCAACTATATACGATATATAATCGTACTCTACTGATAGTTACCTATCTTTCTATCGGGAAAGATAAATAACTTTTGCAATACAAACGATCTTCAAAGGTGTAGCGCTTCTGCTTCAGTGAAAATTTAACAACTTCTTTGACAGATGCTGGATTAAAGTTTACTTAAACTATGGTAATCCCTCACATAAGGCTATATGTGTTAAACTTAGACTTCTTATTTAAGCATTAACAGGATTAATGTATTCCTAATTAAATTGAATGTTTCTTTTAACATCTAAATCAATATATATATATTCAATCGTAAGACATTTGTAAACTGATCGTGTCTGAAACCTGTCTGTCTGCTATATAGTATTGAGGAAATTGGTATGTATTTGACAGAGAAAATTAAAATTAAAAATTGCTAAAACTTGGCTTTAACTAGGCACCAGTAAAGTTAAATTTATTACTTGATTAAATAGCCATGTTTAGTAAGCTTTAATGTAACACAACTCTGTGGTGTTTTAATTTAAATATGTGCCTGAACACATTCCTATACTGACAAATGCATGACATTAAACTTGTTTAACTAGTTGTTCATAAAATAAAATGTGCTTAACTCGTCAGTTCTAAAAAGTTATAAATTTTGGTAGTTAGTCTAATCTGATACTATGTTTAAACGTAGACTTATCAAACCCAGTTAGTGTATTTTTATATGGGTTTTGTATGGATATTGTGTGAAAAGTTGTATACTAATCGATTTAACAACAAGAGCCTACACATAACATAAGGTTCGTCACATACTGTAATGCTAAATGATGATAATGACTTATAGTTATGAATAGATTAATGTTCAGATTAAGGTATTAGTTCCATTCTTCGAAACATGTAATACATGTTTCATAATTTATATCATAAAATAAGAAATTTGGTTTATTTATGTAAAACCTTTGAAAAATCATATCCTTAATTTAAAATGTATGCATTACGTGTAAATTAAATATTGTAATTGAACGTAAGTTCTAAAAATATATGATTTGATACGTTTATATATATATAAGACATTTTAAAATGAACACTTACAGTGATCGTTGTTCTGCAAAAGATACTTTCTATTCAATTTATAGATATTTTTCTATGTCATTACTTGTCAAGTCAATAAATACTTAAAATTTTTTCAACTAAATTAAGGCTGATTCTCATGCAATGCATTCATTGCTATCATCAACACTCTGAATCGATTCAGAAATATTATTATTATATTTAATATTAGTAATGTTATTGTTATTGTTATTTTTACTGTTATTTCTAATTAAATTGTTAGCATTATTGGATAGTTTATTGGAGGAAGCATAGGAGGATAGTTTTCTAGCTGCTGGTATAGGACCAAAATTAGATTCGTCAATTAAAGTACCAGCGCTGCTGCTGTTACAATTGTTTAGCAAATTACTGATGGAACCACCAAATTCGATGCCACTATCGTTACCATTGTTACCATACGCTGCCAGTCTAGAGCTGCTGCTGTGCAACTGCTGCTGTGGTTTCGGCATAAGCGCTACACTGCTATTTAAAATGCTCGCACCAGCAGCAGCGGCGGCTGCAGCAGTAGCCGAACGATGTCCACTTCCAGTTGGTTCTGTATTGATTGTGATGCCATCAACGCAACTACGCTCATCTTTATTATCATTTAAAACGTTCAGGTTGGAATCAAACAATGCCGTTTTCTGCAGTAGTTCGTGGTAGTAGTAGGGTGTGGTGCGTCGTTCTGTTGAAGCAGCACGATTTATGTACTTCGAAGCACCACCAACGCTACCATTACCGCTACCAACAGCCATGCCATAACTCTTATGTGTGCTTAAGTTTGCTTGTTTAATAGTGTGTAAATTTGCATTCGAATAACTATCATGCTTGGGCTGAGGCATGGCTAAGGCAGTGCCGTTTTGTGTGCTACTCAATAGATTTGGCTGTGAGCCATGGTATTGCGATAGGGTGTCAACAGTGGTGGCATCACTTAAATCGTTTTGCTGACAAAAGGTATGTTTTGTAGCCAAGCCGCCTGGTAACGAGGAGGATGGTTTCATTATTGGTACCATTGTGTAAGAATTCAAGCGTTGTGGTTCTCTGTTGGGTGTTGTGGGCGTAGATTTGTAAGCTTGCTCATATTTAACTGGCGGCGGACGTGGCGGTGTTAGCGAGCGTTCGATTTGTAACAGTGAGAATGAATTTCGCTTACCCATAGGGTAACGCGGTACAGAACTGGATGTAGGACGACAGCAAGGAAGATTGCATGGTGGTGCAATATAGGGTGGGAATATCATTTCAGTGGGAGAATCGGGTAGCTGTTTTCGTTGTTGTATAAAAAATAGGAAAAATGTGTAAATGTGTTAGAATACCCATCAACCATTTCACAATTAATATAGTTAAAGCTACAATAAAAAAATATTTAAGTTAGAAATTCTTCAGCACAATACTAAAATTGTTTGGTCGGCAAACTTTGAAGTCAAGCAAATTATATTAAACTTATATTCAGTTAAATATTTGAATGCGCTAACAGTCCCATGTGGTTACAGAGACAGACTGTTATGTTTTTTTTAAAATACCTAGGAACTGTAAAACGTCGAATATAGTTGACCTATAAGTGAATTATGAATTTTATATAAAGATTTTAAAATGCTACCAAAAAGTGTAACAACAACAAAGTTTATATATTAAAAAAAAAATTATTTAATAAAGTTGCACAATTTTTTTGTTTTCACAATAATTTTACCAA